GAGTCTAATTACCGGTCCGTAAAGCATTCCAAACGAGTGCGCGGACGAACGAGCGGAGCAACGTCGACGCTCGGTTTTAATATCGTACAATTTCTACGTCGAAACGTCGGAAAGAAGACGCGTTCTCTCGGTTACCGTTTCCCACGATTCCAGAGTCGTAAATCGAGTCCAGTTTTTTACGGAAAGACGGTGTCATCATCGAGAACGATAGGCGACTGTTTGGAGGAGCTAGGATAACAAATAGAACCAGAAACCAGTGACAAGCTCTGGACTGGATCCACAACCGGAAACTCTGGCCGACTTCTCGCAATCGCGTTCTTTTCGAGCAAAAAGCTTTTCTTCCCCTCTCCCTCACTCTCTCGCTCTCTCTCTCTCTCTCTCTCTCTCTCTCTCTCTCTCTCTGCGTAAACCTTCCGACAGGCAGGGCAAGGCAGGACCGCCTTGGGAACCGACAGCTGCCTTTGCCACCGCGCCACGGCAACTTGCGGCCTTCTCGTAATTAGTCGAACCTTTTGTCGCCAGAGAGAAACAACCCTTCCGCGTGAAACGCTCGCCCCCGCATCGCTTTTCGTTTTCTTTCGACTCGCGCGAGACCTTTGTCACCTGCCTCGGTTTTCACGAACCCTGTCACCTCTGAAAGCCTCTGAAATCCAGGAAAAACGAGTCCCGAACCACCTACGTATTCGAGCCGTCGGCGTGACCGAAGCTTCTCTAACTAAAATTTTCGAAGACGCGTCTAAATTATTCGGCTAATAGTTCGCACTCTTTTGATTTTGACAAAGTATAAAAAAAACAACAAAAAAACAAACGTCCGAGTTGTTCGAAGTTATTCGATGACTTTTATTCGAATTTATTCGGTTATTTCCTAGTTCGCGAACGAATCATAATTTGTTATAAAATACAAAGACGAAGCTGCCGCAGAGTAGAGCAGAGCAGAGTAGATTCGGGAAGCTTCGTTCTCGAAGAACAGCTCGGAAAATAAATGTAGCGTTGTACGCTCGCGGAGCGGAGGAACGAACGGCGCTCGTTTCAAGGGGTGGAAAAGCGAGCGTGAACGCCGGTTCGCGGATCGTTACGTTGACACGCGGTCCCGGCAAACGGAATTGAAACTGTACAATCAACGGGACGAGATTTATACGCGGCAGGCTCTCCTCGCCCCTCGAATTAGCCCGGCCGTAATGCCGGGATCGGGTGTCGGTGTAATTGGGACCCGAGGGACTTTGCCGGGCGCGCGCTTCCACCCCCGTGTACAGCTCGATCATGCCGGATCGTCACGCTATCCCCGAGTTTTCCCAGCTATCGGGCCGCTTCTCCGCGCCGTTATCTCTCCCGCGGCCGAGAAATCAGTTCGCCGATGACAGAAATCGTCGACGAACCGACCGCGAGGGTGAATCGGTCCCCGTAATCCGACGATAATCGATACGCTTCGACGGTCGCTCCGTTCCGAATGAAACGATTACGAAAAACCGAAAACATCTCGCGATATACCGCGGATTTTACGCGTTCTTTACAACTTTACGAGGTCCACGACCTTGTTACGATTTCTGAAAGGAACCCATCAATTTGCCGGATCCGAGACCCCTCCCGCCGAGAAATTCGATTCCCAAAGCGCAAAAGCCTGGCGACCGCGAATCACAGAAATCCGATTCGACCGACCACCGAGTCCTTTGATTAATTCCGAGGCATCCTTGACGCGCGGCGGACCGACACCGCCGATCTATAATCGCTTTGAACGAGATAAATGCTGACAGAGGAGACGAGCATTCAAGTAGAACCATCGTCCGCGATTCCGATGCGTCGACGCGTTATCCTCGAACCGGTGGAAAAAGCTAATTCTCAAAAGAGTCCGTCGCGGCAACGCTGGCTACAACGTCGGGCAGGACGACGATCAACAACAACAACAACAACAACAACAACAACAACGTTAACGACGACGACAACCAACAATAACAACAACAACAACAACAACAACAGCATAACAACACCGAGCACGGACACACGATGACGTCGACGCTGCCGTGCGTAACGATAGCTGATTTGCTTTGAAGTGAACAGTTTACACACACCGGGCTCCAACCGAGAGCACCCTCCGGCATTGTAAATGGTCCGCGAGAGACGCGAGAGGGACATCGACGTCGACGCCGATGCCGATACCGATGCCGACGCCACTGCCACCGTTGTCGTTACCGCGGAGAACGTACAACAAACGTTGCAACGCCCTCGCCGACGTTCCTAGACGGCCGTCCAACCGCTTCGACGAGCACCCTCGCGCGTCCACCGAATCCTTTGCCCTGTCCATTCTGATTCATTGAGTTCTGCAACCGGAAACACCACCTCGCCGAGTCAATCATAGCGATTAACGCTGCTCGTTAAAGCTGCCGATCAACGTTGACGATCGACGCCGCTGATTACCGCTGCTTTGCATTTTCACCTGCTGTCAAAGATACAACCGCTTTAGTATATATTTCATGAAATACAATACGAATGAAAATATAATTACGAGAAATAAAACGGTGAAACCTCGAAAACAATCCAACACTTTCGAACCCGCTTCGTCGATCCGTCTCGTCCTCGATGCGGCGATCCTCTCATCTTCCGCCCCAAGATCTCCATCCCTAATTGAATCCTGGCAACAATATCGGGTGAACGAAGGCATCTCGTACCGCGCGAAAGAATCGAAAGGTAGAAAGAGAGTGTGAGGCTGGCTAGGCGACATAGGAGGAGAGGTTTCACCTGGATCAGCGTTGCGAGAGCGAAAGAGAGAGAGAGGGAGAGAGAGAAAGAGAGAGTGAGAGAAAGAGAGAGAGAGAGAGACCGGGGCAAAGGGTTCGACCGCTGCCCCCTTTGTGGCAGTTTAGCGTTTCATGTCGTATTCCGACTCATTGGAAATTGAGGAATAGAGAAGAGGCGCAAAAGGGATACGGCTTTGAGATAAAAAGAACGTCGTGTGGCGACGGTGCCCAGCACCGCTCGGCGACTGTTCCGCCCCTACCTCTGCCCTCGCCCCCTTTGTGCCCCCAGCCTCCAGCACCCAGCCCCAGCGCCAGCCCCACCCTCCGCGAGAAATAAACCCTTGGCATCGTGGACGGGGACGGGACACCTCTGTGCCGTAGCTGTCGCGCTGGACGACAAAGGTGTCGCCACCGATCGTCAAGCAGCGGAGCAGCCGAGCAACGCGGCTACGGAGCCACCGAGCACAACCCCTTTTGGCCTTTCCGTTCCCCGGGCTTCAATTTTGTCCAGCGTCGAAGCTGTTCCGCCACCCTTTTCTCCCCACTTCGCTCCAACACTTTCCTCTCCGTCCCCGAGAGACTTCTTTGGTCGATGTATGGAGAGATACGGAGAAAGAAAGAGGGAGAAGTCTCTTCTCGCGCAAGAGGAAAATCTTCGGGGGAAAGAGCTGGACCGATTAAAAGCTGTCGGTTCGATCCGGTTCGAGGGACGACGGAGGCGGTACACCGTGGTCGACGGACCCCGCTGGAAGCCGATACGCGGCTAGCATAACCCAGAACCCCGGCTATACCGTCCTCGAACATCGAGCCTCGAGCCTTCGAAGCCTCGGCCTCGGCCTCGAGCAGCCGATGCTCGTGGCTACAAGGGTAGGTGCCGCGGTCACTTTGTGAACTAACCTGGCTTTGCCCGCTGTTTAATTAAGTCTCGCCGAGACTACTCGTCCTGCCCCCCTTCTTTACCCTTGCTACCCTCTCGCGCCGCACTTTGTCCATCGTCCGCGCGTCTCCTTCTCGGACACCTTGATTTACACCCCTCCCCCGTATATATGACACAGGAGTTCGAAATAATTATCCATTTCCGCTTAAAAAATATTAAACAACAACTCCGAAAAATTCTACCTAACGTACCCCAATGTTATCAATTTCCTCCGATGTGTTCGTAATTATTATAATAATATTATAATAATCCGCAATTTAATCGTAGCAATTTCTACCGAAGCTGTCTCGTCAAGGATCAGCGAGATCAGCGAGATCATAGAGAAAGAGTCCCGTCTTTCGGACAATCGTCCCGGATGACTTCTAGGATTTTTCTGGAACGGATGGCTCGAGAGAACGAGTGCGTGTCTCGTCCGCGTTTTCCGCAGCGTATTTTTTTCTCTCCCCGACACGGTGGTTTTGCTTCCACCCCACGGAGCCCCGAAGGCACGCGTATGAATTCGCTCGCGCGTAACAGTGAGCTTCCGTAATATAATTGTTAATGCGCTGATGGGCCGCGGGCTCCGGCGTTTACGCGTTACCGACCCCTTACGTAAAAATAGACGCGTTTCTCCGCGAGCGCCGCGAGAGACCGGCCGCGGAAAATACGGACGCGCGTGTCGTTGCCGCCGATCCTGTTGCGAGCGATCGCTTCGGATCTTCGATACCTCGGAGGCTCCTCGCAAACAGATTTCCCGCTTTCGAAAAACGAATTTCTATGAGCACAAATTTTACGTATTGGGAAACGAAAAGAAACAAATCTTCTGCCACACGGTTGTCTGACATCGGTTACAAAGAAAATCTAAAACCGAAAAGTAACCGACGCCTAAAACACGAGAAAAATCGATTGGACGATGCTCGGAAAAGAAAACGCCGACGTTCTCGGCGAATCGCTATGGCGACTCGCATGGCCAGGATGTTCAAAAAAATAACAGCACAAGCGCGACACGGTATTCGAAGCATCGGCATTCGCGGATGCGAATATTCAAAATAACCGAAGGCTGAACAGAAGAGAAAGAGAGAGAGAGAGAGAGTGGAAGAGGGAGAGCGAATGCAAGGGTGGAAGGTGGGTACAGGCGAGAAATGGAAGAGAGTACAGAGGTGTACCGACCTAATCGTATTTCATAATAACGTCGAGAGCGAGAGCGAGAACGAGTGCGGGCGTGGGTGCGGATGCTGGAGCGGGTACGAGAGCGAGAGGAGCTCGTCGGCAACCTCGTGATAAACAAAGAGCGTAAGAAATACCATTACGGTAGCTCTCTCCGCTCCGCTCTCGGTTCCGTTCCGTACGGGGGCGTATGGGCAGAGATAGGGCCGGCGACCCGCGTGTGCACGTGTGTGGAACGAGGACGCGGAGGCGCGGCGGGGCGCACAGGGTGTCGGGGGTGTCGGGGGTGGCGGGGTGGCCGGGCGGCGGGGGACGCGAAAGCGCGGAGAGACGACGCGAGAAATTTCGTTGCTGCGGAATTTAGATGAAATTGCGCGAATTACTTGAGCGGCCGTGTGTGCACACGTAAAGAGCCGAACCGAAGCGAAGCGGAATCGCGCGCGCACGCTCCGGAATCGTCTCGTCTCGTCTCGCGGAAATTCTGAGCGTACCGGTCTGAGACCTCCGCAGTTTCCCCGGAGCTTTCTCGTTTTTCGTTACACCCGAGTCGGCGACCTTTTATTCGAGCGGTACGATTAATTAGATTTATCGTAACGTAATGATAACCGACGATCCAATCGTTCCATTTTAAATCGCTCCTACTCGAGTTTGTTACAAACGCGCGGTCTTGCGTCGTTCAACCACACAATTTACCAACAATCTAAATGCATAACCTACGCATAATCCAACTCCGTGATTTACCGTGATTGCGAAATCAGAGGACAAAGCCAAGATTTAACGAGGCCGCGCGAGCAAAAGAATGTTCCGAGAGAAGCGACGGCGATCGATGTCCCCCCTAAGGGGTTTTGGAAACGACGAGGGACGGTAGAATCGTGGTGACAGAAGTGGAAGATCGACGGGTTTCAATTTTCCACGATTGAATTTTCCACCGCGATCTTTCTCCGTCGAGCCAACGGTGTCGACTGGCCTGCGTTTAGAGTTGCGATTTTCCAGGACGCGCGAACGGAACCTCGAATCATGCGAAATTACCCGGCGCGCGACGCGTAAATAAATAAATGTCCGCGCGTAACCGGTAACCCGTTATTACCGGCCGGCGTCACCCTATCCGGACCAAACCCGACACCCCCGCGAGCCGTCTCCCACACCCCCGCTCGGACGCGGCTCCTCCGGTGCGCGAAGCTTTTCTCTCTCGGCTATTCTCTCGGTAAACAGCGACGACGATGCCGCGTCTCGCGATTTGTGCAAATATCGATCGAATCGTACATATACCGGCCGATTCGTATCGATACCGATCGATCGATGCGATCCCCTAGAAAGGGGATGCTTTCTAAAGGTACAGATTTCGATCCGTCGCGCGTCGAGTCGAGAAATTTTGCGGACGCGCGATTACGAAAGAGATGCAAATTGTGAGTCAAAGATTACATCTATGGTTTGTCCCGAAACCAACGATACCGGATACAGATATAGGAGAGAAAGATGCTGTCCCAAAACGGACGAAACAAATTTTGCCGACGGCGTTGTCGTCGCGCTGTAAAAATCCCTCGGCTCAACGTCGATGTCGATGGCAAAATTTTCTCCAAGAGTAACAATCGGAATACTCGGCCCCTACGAAACGCGAAACGGATGCCAGGGCAGTCGAAAGTGGCAATAATTCGTTCTCCTTTCCCGGGCACGAAGCATGGCAAAGAAAGCGAGCGGATTGTCGCGAGCAAAGGTCCGCACGCGTATGAAAGACGAATCCCGCACCCTCGTAATACGAGTCCTCGTAAAGTAGCATTCCCGTGTAAGTCCTTCTGTCGGCCGGTCGACTACCATCTACGGCTTTCTATTATGCATGCGTCCCTTATTGGCAGTAAACGTGCTCTCACCCTCTTGCCAAAGCCACCCCCGTCGTCTCGTCGCCCCGTCGCCGGTCTCGATCTCGGTCTCTCCGCTCCTCTGCCTCCGGAATTACGGCCGTAAGCATATTTCTAATTACAACGTCGCGCACCGCGAGGAAAGGCCTCACGGACAGACGGAGAATCTCGTTAATTATGGAACCGCCATCCGATTTTCGGAGGCTGCACCCTCGTATTGACTCACGGTTACGGTCGCGCCTGGAATCTCTTACTTCGGGTATTAAATTATCGTAACCGCCGATCGTGGTTGCCGCGAAAAGTTGAATCGACGCGGTCCGGCAACGGCTCGGGAGAATTTGGCATCGACCGATACCGAGAGGGACGGACATATCGAAGTGGAAACCGGACCCGCGCGGCGGACTCGACGGGTCGGCGCGCGGGGGACGATGTCGGCGTTTACGTTTTGATTTGTCGTAACGAGGATTAACGGTGCGGGGGCGTGGAAATCCGTTCATCATCGGTCGCGTACAAGCGTTTCGCGCGGTTTCACGCGGTTACACGCGTCTGCTGCCGGCTGGCGCGCGGACCTATCAACGTATGGACCGCGATCCCGCTCTCTCGAGCCCATTCGCCGCCACCAATTTGGCATCGAGAATGGTCCATAGTCATTAATGGGTCGTACGCGTTAACGATTATGTTTCGGCTGTAATCATTGGACCGATTGTCCCGATCGTCGCGCTAATAAACCGTGATGGGATCGCACGGTGTGCGTGCCAGCCCGTCGCCGCGCAAACCGTCCTCCCGCGCCACGGTAAACACCGTCGATGACGATGAGGATGACGATGACGACGATCGGTACCGCGCAACCGTAATTGCGCAGTCGGTGCACCGCGTTCGGACTCGCGGAATTGCTCTCCGTTGTCCACCAAAAATCGATCTGTCCGTTTTTATTTTCCATTTTTCTCGACGAATCGAAACGCGCCGATAATCGCGACAGCGAAAATTCGACAGCGTTCGTATCGTCGCTCCATCGACGATAAACTCGATTCGAGGCGCAAAGAAGCTACGTACGTCTACGTCGACGACAACGGACCGAACACGGGGCCCGTATCGGCACGGACGGCAGTGAGAGCGAGCAGCTCGAATCTAGGAACAATTTGCGAAGTTCTACCATCGAAAAGGCAATTTGTAGCAGGGCCGAGGCGTTTAATCTTGGAAATCCATTGCTAGCTCGAGCCAAGACGTTCCGAGGGACGCGGAAGGGGTGTAAAGGGCGGCGAGGAACGCGTTGCGGTGTCGATCCGCCGATTAGCAGACGCTCGGGCATCTGGATCGGTACGCGGCTATGCTACAGGCTCCACGGGGGAT